TATTATTCCTTTCATTTATATTAATTAATCTAATTCCTGGCTGGGAAATAAATTTGATCAGCTGGCCGGGAAACCAACCAATTTTATCTAGCTGGCTGGGAAATTTCTTGTGTGTCTTGCTGGGAAAAAGGAACAGATAATGTTTTCCCAGCAACACTGAAAAACACGTGAAGATGCCTTAATAACATTTATTTTCATTAATGGGGATATAATAATACATTTTACAACAAATTGGTCGTTGGGTGCCCCTGTGAAGTACTCTACTGATTTCAAACAAAATCTGATATAAAAACTCCTTTTTTTCAGTGTGTACTGCTTACTGTAAAAACCCAACTAACCTGCGCTTGTCACGCAGGCTACAGTCGCTAGGGGTAAAAAGAAATCGCACCAGGGAAGTTGATGTGTTTTCAGTTTGAACGCCAGATGCCTGGAGACATGAATTTCCCGTATTCGCGATGCTCGTTAACGCCCTTTAACATCGCCCCACTGACAACCTCGTCCCTAAGGCGCTTTTCCCTAGGGACAAGCGCCCTGGGGACGAGACTACCCCAACGACAATCTAATGAGAGGAGAAGCGGGGAGAAGCTAGGATCATCAAATAAAATGCGAATATTTTGATCCAATATTGTTGACTGTGTTTTGGTTCCGGCTTAGCTCCTTTGTTTAACCAGGTCAGATTTCGTGACACGTGAAAATTGGTTTTTACCCACGTGATACGTGAAATTTGTCAAAATTTGTACGTGAAACGGGACCATGAATCCCCTTTGCTACCCTCAAAAAGTTGTTTAACTACACAGTTTATTGAACAAGGTCTAGTAGTATTTCTACAATTACACAATTCTATTGTTTGTGCTCAGACTTATAACTGTATTTAGATGTGTTCTTTAGCTAAACGTAGCATATGTTTTCAGCTGATCCAGTTTCACTCTCAATTACTTTTCCCCAAGAAATGTAGCAGTTCACAATACAACGGTGGAAATAAATGTAGAGACCCACAAAACGCGTTAAAGTTAATTCGTTCTTGCCGGATTCTCTGATGTAGAAACATGTAGAAATGCTTGAACCAGTGTAAATTTTTAAAATCAAACCAATGCAAACATGGCAATACCGCAAGGGGTTGGTTAGAGGCCAATAATTTGGCGAACGAAATTAGCTTTTCTCAGGGCCAGAGCTACACGGCTCCTAAACCTTTTAATTAAATTTTACATTCAGTAGTCTAGCTAGTTAATGATAAACTAAAAATACTGTAGAGCATGATACATAGGTAAAAAAATAATGCGATAAAGTGCCATTAATAAAGGCTTTCTGAATCCAGGGGTGATAACTAAAACAGTGATGTTACTTAACAGCTGAGACCTTCCAGAATTACATGTCTTTAACGTCTCGCAGGTAATCAAAAAAACACACACACAGGGGACCCCTACAGCGTATCTACCGGTACTTGAAAGCCAAGATGATTTCCGTGTTAATCACCATGGTCATCGACATTCCTCAAAAGTAATGATAGCAACATTTCAGGTTAAAACACCGTAGTTTTCAATTGCATTTTTGTCCTTAGTATTGTCAGGCCGTTTTTTACATGAGGAAACTTTCAAAGTTTGATTTTAAGTGACGCGACACGAGGAAACATCTCTTTTTCAAAACCGTAGTGTTCCGCGCGTTTTTGCTTTTTGTTCCTTTAATTGCTTCAGAAACAACCTAGGAACGCACAATAAAACGCACAATAGAAACAAAGGTCGGCAAATTTGGGAACAATCTGGTCTGTTAGCAGCAAATTGGATCAACACACAGTTCCTTTTCATTTTAGTCAAAAGGAACAACTGGTTCCTCTTTTATCCTTTCAGGAACAAAAGGTCCTCTTTCAACAGTTCCGATTTCCCTTCATGTTCCTTTCGAAGTGATTGGGGAACAAATGTTCCCAATCTAATTTCTCGCTCTACACAGTAAGGAACAAATTGTTCCTATTTACCGGCATATCCACTGCTGTTCGGAACGCCTTGTTCCCTTTCGGTTCAAATTGTTCCTATTCATGTCCAACAGGAACGGAATTGTTCCTAATCGAGGAGATGGTTTGTTCCTCAAGATGAGTGTTATATTCCGCGTATAAATGGGAACAGGTACGGAATTTGTGACAAAGGAAGTAGCGTTCCATTTTGTAAAAAGGAATAGGGAACAATAGCTCCTATTTATCGTAGGCTATCTGAAACTACTGTCCATCACCTCTGTATACAAATTTATCAAAACATATATCCTTCAACGATCAAGTTAAGTACGAGACTTGCCCGCTACATGTTTAAACTCGTTCGGGCTTGCCCGCGCAAGTTCAGGCTTGTGTCTTTGTTCCTTTTGATTAATTGTGTACCAAATACGGACAAGAAAACAATGGGGCAAGGGGCAAGATATGACCAAGTGTGGGCAGAGATTGGGTAACAAATATCTCATTGGCGAGTAGGATGATCTCTTGAGGACCCTTTTGCTAGTATAAGTGCGTGCATACTTTAGAAAGATATCGATTTCAAGCCAATGCTTAAGATGAACAAACGGGGCAAGGATGTCAACTGGTCAAAGTTAGCAAATGCATCGCCTAAACCAAAGAGACTTCACTTGGAAGAGGATGACTGTTATGGTCTTTTAACTGCCCGGTACAAATTTGTAAAAAACCACGATGGATTCACTACGAAAAGAGGCTGTAGAAAACACGTAAAGATCAAACACAGTTGGTACTATTACTTCGACCAGTAGCCAGACAGTGTGCAAATCGATACCCTTAATGTCGATGAAACCGACAAATGTGAAGCCAGTGATCAGAAGATTATACTGCTTAAAAGCAGGGCAATTGCCTCTTTTGATACTACGAACAAAATTGTCAAGAACTTTTTTTCGTGGCTCACTGGCAGTGGTGGGGGCTGTAAAAGTGATCGACAAGCACAACAGATCGTAAGCAAGTGATAAAAGTTTCTCAAATTTTGTTGCGAAGACGAAGAGGAGTTCACATTTGACATTGTGGACTTAAGTTTATGTTCACCGAATTTCCTTTTCAAGTTGTTGATACGATGCAGGATGATTGGAACCTGGGACACGCGGGACGCATAGGCTAATTGGACGCCATTGCAGAATTGGTGGACTATCAAAAAGTGAATGGAGCATCGGAATCACTATTGAGGGGACTGGCTTCAACAGAAATTTACTTGAAAAAGGTGCGCAAAACCGTTTCCAAAATGATGCGGTTGCAGTGGACCAGTGAACTCGAGATCGATGCCTTAGAAGCTAAGGGACAATGGGCCACTCTTGCAGAACTGTTGGAAGTCGTGGGGCGCTACCTGCCCCGCTACGAGAGCGCGATGAAATCATGTAAGGAGAAACCGGGTGTTGTTTTGCCCATAGATTTGTTTTTTGCTACCAAATGTTTTGCCGTCTACTTATTTATCAAGGTCAAGGGCTCGCGCCCCATGACATATCAGTATTTAAAGGTGGAAATGGTGAACAAAGCCAAGACTAACGGTGGTTTTATAAACCAGAAAATGTTCAAAACGGCTGGCAAATATGGCTTCGATTCTCTTTACCTGACTGAGAAGAGCATGCAAGTGTCGGATGGCTACATCAACCACATTCGCCCCCTACTCAGACCGACCTGCGACTTTGTATTGGTGACAAGAAATGGAGGGCAGCACAACAAGCTGGGAGAGCTAATGAGTAAACTGGTCTTCGATGCAACCGGCAAATACGTTCACCCGACTCGTTATCGACCGATTGTAGAGACCGCGAGTTCCAGGCAGCTGAGCAGCATCGCGCAGAGCACAATCTTCGAGGACCAGAAACATAGCTTTGTTGTTGCAAGGGTTCACTATCAGAACCAGCGATCGCGCGAGGTGGCGAGAAAAGCACATGAATATTTGGAACGATTGCATGGGGAAAAGGGATCAGAGCTAGAAATCGCTGAGACGTGCGCTCGAGGCTTAGTTCAGGCAATTTTGCGTCTTCTGAAGATCAGAGTGGTATCAAAACTGACACTTTCTCAAATGATGAGGGAGAAGCGATCGCAGAAACACCACTCGAGCGTCTCTCAGGTGTCCCGACATAAAAGCGGGAGAATACATTTGTAGTGACAGATTTCCCAGCAAGAAAAAAAAAGAGTCTGATGTTCACACCTTAAGAAGACAGTATCTAAAAGCAGGCATTGGACGACACGGCTACGGTCAATAGAAAGCTTTTCTCAGAGATTCCAAATTTCATTTTCAAGAGGGAAGGACAGCCAACTCAATGCTGAGCCTTGCAGCGTGAAGATTTGTATCATTTTCTAAGTTATCCTAGAACTTTACATTGTGAGCGATACAGAATTTTGCGAGCGGCGCCGGAACACTGAACTCTAGTTAGTTCATCTAACTCGAAACTTTAGTGCAACCTTAATATTAGGCAAGACATAGGAGAGGCATGCTTTCAAACATCAATTATTGTCACACAGATAAGTCACAGGACTGCTAACTTTTTTCCTTGATTTCTGAACACGATTGATTGATTTGAATGATTTTCTAAATTTTTACTGTTGGCTGGGAGAAAAAAAGGGAGTTATTGTTCCTCTCTTGGGCATCGGAGTAATCGTTGGGGGCTGACTTCGGCGTTTCTGATAGGTGCTTTTCGGAGCGGATGAGAGGCTGTGGGCTCTGGGTGCTGTAGAGGGCGTTATGAATAGCTGCTCGTCGTCGTCTTCGATCTCACGGGGATAGGGAAGGGGGCACCAGATGCTGCTGCTTGAGTCGGGGAGACTGACTGCATTTCTACCGCTTTCTTTCTCCGCTGCAAAAGTACTGACTTTGACAGGCCCGGAACTTCTTCCTTTTGAAACTTAAACTTCAGAGCCTGAGCGGTCACTTCCATCATGCACAAGAGGGCACGCTTCGTATCTTCGTCTGTCGCTGCGTCTTCTTTGGACTGGTTGTCTCGAAGTTCCATTTTTTTCGCCATAATCCAATCATTGTTGTAGTACTCTCGTGCTTTTTTCTCTAGCATCCATTGTTGTTGTTCTTTTTTCTTTGCAAAGTATTCTTCCCTTCTTCGATGTTTGAATGGTAGGCGTTGCTCACTGACTGGAGCAAAGGGACGTCACCTTCCCTCATCATAACGAGCGAGATCCATCGTTGACGTGTTTCTTCTAGAGCACGTTTTCGTGCTCGTTGGTCTTGGTTGTTAATGTCCTCCACTGCGCGTTTTACCCCAGCTGCGAGTAGATTTAGTTGCCTTTGTTTGAGGCTGTGGCTCTTGCTCTCGCTGAAGCTCGATGTACTTTGGACTCTTCTCCCATTGGCCCAAGTAAGTCGAATCAGCATCCGAGTCTTCACTCTCTCTTTCTTGATCACTGAATTCTGTAGTCGTGTTCACCTCCGCCTCTTTCTCTTCTTTCTCTCTCCGCTTCGTTCATTCTCTTCTTCGTCAATGTGCTCCGGAACTAAACTGGTCCTCGGGATGGGAGGGGGTAGTTCATCGTCCGGTGTTCTTGCAAAACCATATACCCAGACAATGAAATACATTGCATTGTCTCGTAGGAATTCTTGAACTCCTGCCGAAATCCAGGTCAGTCTGACAAGTGATAAACATGGGGCATCTTATTACTTTCAGACGTCCTATACTTGCGGTCGTGGGCTGTTAGCCCTCCCTGCGTCAATATTTTCCAGTCATCTGGGTCCATCAGGTTGGCATGTGCCTCGTCCAGGAAGATTATTTGCGTGTTTTCGTCGACTAAACTCTTGTTGAACGCCTTTTGCGTAGTGATCATCGCAATGTATCTTGCTGGGATCAGGCGCGAGGAGGGCGTAAAAAGGCTCGTTTTTCCACTCTTCGCAGAAGTGCGCCACTTCCAGCTCGTTGAGACTGTTCTCTAAAATTTGTTTGAAGTACCCAGGGTCTGGATTTTTAGTGTGTTTGTAGTCGATGTACGCCCAGGGAGATTCTTTGCCAATGTCCGCGTCTTTCACGGGCTCAAAAACGAACTTTCTCTGACTTATTGAAAAGCACCATCCTCCTGTTACTTCAATCAAGTCGTACTGGATACGAAGCTGCCTTTTATCTTACGATCTCACATTCTCGATCGCCAGGTATCTCCACGAGTTTGTTCAGATGCTTTGTTCTTCGTTGTTCTATTTTTTCCCCTTACTTCGTCTCTCTAGGGCGGCGACAGAGGAGAAAATAATGCCACTCCTTTCATTTTCTTAATCTTTTTATCACATTCATCTCGCTTTTGGCAAATGTTTAACAACAGATCGTCACAAGATATTCCTTCACGTCTGTTGTACGATAAGAGCGAACAAGTTCCTTGGACAGCTGACAAGACCTTGGTTAGCAGGGCGCTTTTGATTCCCTAAAATTTGTGCAAGAAAAAGAAAAAATCAGTATAGTTTGAGCTACATTGACAAAGTAAACTTGTAGGAAAAATGTCTTCAGGTTTTGCATTTGCATTTGCAAGCTACACTGTATTATAGGTTTACAGGTTCAAAACGCCTTAGCAATAGAGTTGTTTACTACGAACTTAATTAACTCGTTCTCTAAAAGAACTAAGAGCATCTTGTCTTCCTTAACGAATCTTGAAGTTACGACGAAGAAATATCAAGTCTAGTACATACCTTATTATCGAGTTGCCGTGCCTGTGCTGTGGCCATGACTGTCACAGAGAGAAATGAGAACGAAGTAGCTTTTCCGTGTACTTTTGTAGCTTGGTAGCCAGATTTTTGTAGTTCTTCTGTGCGATCTTTCGAGTTTGATAAATTCCAGCAAAAAAGCTGCTACGGTGCAAGAATTACACGAAAAAGGTACAATAATTACGTAATCGATAGCTCTTATCACATTTCGTTTTCATGAAGTTTTGTTGACAATTCACAAATAGTGGATAATGAGGCATTCACGTTAGCAAAGAGTGTAATTTTTAAACAAAGTCTGAAAACTTATAATTACGTAATCGATCGTTGTAATCACATTCTTTTTCATTAAGTTTTGTTGACAATTCACAAATAGTGGACAGTGAGGTATCCACGTTAGCAAAGAGTGTAATTTTTAAACAAAGTTTGAAAACTTGTAATTACGTAATCGATCGCTGTAATCACATTCCTTTCATGAGGTTCTGTTGACAATTCACAAATAGTGGGTAATGAGGTATTCACGTTAGAACCAAAGTGTAATTTTTAAACAAAGTCTGAATACGTATTAGGCGAACAAGCAATCTCAGAATCAGCGAAAACCTTAGGCACACTTTTGGCAGGATTACTATTTTCTGCAGCACATAGATATCCCCGATGTATCCGTCATATCCATCACACTATTTATATTCTGCAATTTAGGAGTTCCCAAATAATGCAATAAAAGCGCATCATAACTGAAATGAATGGGATGTCACATAAGACAACAGAAGCCTTTCTTGTCACTGAACTGTAAGAGGTCTTCCCTGTATTATCCGATGTATCCGTCACTCGAAATAAAATATGTGGATTTTCAATGAGATCTCCGAGTCTAAAAGAACTCGAGAATATTGGTGATAGCGGATACAACAGGGACACAACTTACAGCACATCAGATCTGCTTCAAGGAATACATAAAAAATCGAAAGTGTAATGGGGATAGCGGACACAACGGGGACAGAACTTACAATATAAGATATACTACTACTACTACTAATAATAATATATAGATTTAGCCAGGGCTAAAAGCGAAGCTCCCGTTAATAAATTCATAATTTAAATCAAGCAATAAACTTGTAATCCACAGATCAGGGCACATTCATTTGACTTTTGAGGCAAAGGCTGAGTGATTTTAGAGAACAATCAGAATTTGACCCTCAAAGAGTGAAACAAGTTCTACATCAAGTTATTTGTACACCGAAAAATAGCAATCATGTTCGATCACAGTAGATTAGGCCTGGAAAACAAATAGACCTATTCGTGTATTGTATATGCATTAGCTGTAGCATCATAATGTGGCATTCACCAGTCTCTCCAACATTGCTCCGTTAGAGAGACTATGGATAATTGGACAACCCCGAAATATAATTTTAAGAAACACATGCGCCACGATAGTCCTTGGTGGCAGCCAATTCACACGTTGCATTCCTCTGTCTAAAAGAGAGGCCAAAATAAAAATCAGGCCGGAATTTTTTGTGTTCGACAAGTTTAGTTTACTAGTAAAGCTTGGCGACGAATCTGGTTGCGTGTAAACCAGACTTTTAAACATACGTTTTCT